AATTGTACCATGTACGTATTTTGAAATTTATATACATATTTTGGGACGTACGGATCTTGAGACGTATGTAGGTATTTTAGAATGGAAGAATTCTGGGACTTACTTTGGAATTTTGGGACTTATTTGAAAATTTAAGTATGACACGATTTCAGGACTAACTTTGCAAGTTTAGGTACTACGTACAGATTTTAATATTTACGTGCAATCTTTGGGTCGTAAGGATTTTGGGACTTATTTCGACATTTTATGGCGTACAGATTTTGGGACTTACTTTGAAATTTGAGAAGCTTAGGTTTGGAACATTAGATTTCTTACTAGAAAGATAAGACTTTGGATTCTTTAAATATGGGACTTATGAACTGTGGTACTTTGAGTGTGTATTTCTTTGCGACTTTGGGACTTGTGATTTTAAGGCTCTGAGTATAATAAGATATTGCGAATTTGGGACTTATGAAAGTTGGTACTATGAGAATTGGGAACTTATTGCATTAAAGTGTTTGATAATTTGGGATCTGTGAAACTTGGGACTTATTCTAATCAAGTGTTTGAAAATTTGGGCCTTGTGAAACTTGGGACTTTCATTATTTATAACTTTTGAAATTTGAGACTTTGGGACTTTTAAAATTTGAAATATGTGAAATCTATTATTTTGAGTGATAGGAAATTTAGATTCTGGGGATTATGAAAATTTGGGCCCTATTATAAAGTCCCTAGACTCCCATCGAAATGCACTAATTTTCCTAAAAATCCCCAAAATTCCTTAGAATCCACATTATGCTTTCCTTGAAGACTCCACTATCTACAAATCCACATTCTCAAAAATTCTCCGTCCATCGATTTCCAAAAAATCCCCAAAATTCCCTAGAATCCACATTGTACCTCCCTTGAAGCCTATACTTATCTCATCTTTCGTATTCTATCGTAAAAATTCTCCGTAAATCGATTTCCTAAAAAATCCTCGAAAACGTAGACAGTCCCTGTACAGACTCGAGGGTCCATGCAGACGGTTTGTCTCGATGGCGCCGTTGGCAAAGAAGATTCAGAGAAGGAGAGAAGGCCGGGTTCCGGTGGGCCACGCTGGAGCGAGCGAGACCGACGTCTGGCTATTGTATTCGGTGCGGCGTAGGGTTCTTGGTCGCCATCTTGCTTGATATTGATCGCGAAACGCACGAATACTCGCTCGTTCGCCGCGGCTGCGTTCGTCGCCGATCCTCTCCTCTCTCCTCTTTGCGCGCTAAGCCCAGGAGCTAGGGAAAGAACGCGCGGGCTCGAAGGGGAGGCCGCGTTGTGTCGGTTGGAAGCCTCCGGTGCTTTTCAGTCCGCGGGGGAGGAGACTCGTCTTGAAAATGGCGGGGATCCCCGTGCATCGGAACCGTCTTTTATCTGTCCTCGAACGTACACTCGGCCAACCGAGCTGACAGAGTGCCTCCACGCATTATATATCGACGTATTGTCCGCGAGATGTAGCTATCTAGCCATGGGTGCTCCCATGCATTTAAATTACTGGTCCGATGAAGACGCCAGGGGTCTTTTTGGTCCGACGGACTTTCGTCGACTTCTTTTAGGGATCTAGGGACACGCCTTTTTCGAGCGAGTTTGGGGTTCGATTTGCGGGGTGTGCTGGTGGGATTCTTTGGGATTGGAACTTAGGGATTTGGAGAGTCGACGATTTGAGTATTTGGGGATTTGGGGGTTTTGGAGATTTGGAGATTTGAGGATTTGGGAATTTGGGAATTTGGGGATTTGGGGATTTAGGGATTTTGGGACTTGGGAGTTAGAGAATTTGGGGATTTGGGGATTTAGGGATTTAGGGATTTAGGGACTTGGGAGTTAGGGAATTTGGGGATTTGGAGATTGGGAGATTTTAGTATTTGGGGATTTGGGGATTTAGGGATTTAGGGACTTGGAAGTTAGGGAATTTGGGGATTTGGAGATTGGGAGATTTGAGTATTTGGGTATTTTGAGATTTGAGGATTTGAGGATTTGAGGATTTGAGGACTTGAGGATTTGAGGATTTGAGGATTTGAGGATTTGAGGATTTGGGGATTTAGGGACTTGGAAATTGGGGAATTTGGGGATTTGAGGATTTGGGAATTGAAATATTAGGATTTGGAGATTTAAGAATTTGGAAATTCTAGTATTTGGGGATTTGAGGATTTAGGGATTTAGGGAGTTAGGAGACAGGAGTTGGGGATTTTTGTACTTGGATATTCAAGTAGTTGAGGGTCTAGGGATTTGTGGATTTGAGTGTTTGTGTATTTTGAGATTTGGGGATTTAGGGATTTAAAAATTTGAATATTTTGATATTTAGGATCATAGGAGTCAATATGAGAATCTAGGGAATTAAAGTTTTAGATATTGTGATTTGAGAAATTAAAAATTCAGGGATCTAGGGATTTTGTTATTAGAATATTTTATGATTTCAAACTTTAACTATTTGGAGATTTGGTGATACACAAATTTGAGAATTTAAGTATTCAAAAATTTATGTAATTCTCCCTAGATTTTGGTGTCTAAAAATTTGAACACTATATAATTCGAAAGTCACAAATTAAAATTCTCTAAATTTACAAATTTAGTAATTTAAGACCTGAAGTATTTAAAAATATTTATAAACTTCCGCAAATTCATCCTCTATCGTACATAAAATATAAACACACGCAACCACTTGTCGAACCAAAAAAAAAGGAAGAAATAAAAAATGAAGCACTCTAATATTCATCCAAAATTCCACAGTCATATCGCGGTCACCCTTCAAGTATGTCCATGCAACGATTTCGCGAATAAAAACCTCAACAACACTACAAAACCATCAACGACACTCGAAAGAGGGAGTAAAAAAGAACCAGAACTCGAAACTAGTGAATCCTCGGTAATAAACATCGCGAGGGTTTATTAATATGGAATGTGGGGGAACTAGGGAAATTTGGGGAGGACTGGGAAGTCTAGGGGAAATTGAGAGAGTGGTAGAAGAACTAGGGAATTTAGGAAAGGTCGGAGCACTAGGGAAATTAGAAGGTAGCTAGGGAAAAGGTGTAAGAAAAACTGGAATTTGAATTTTCTCTTGAAGACACTATAAAAGTTATTTACATCATATATTACATCGTGTTATATTGTAATATTCTGAATCGTGATTGTATTATATCGCAATGCATTGTATAGTTTCATATTACGTTGCACTGAATTACTACTTGTTATATTGCCACTCGTTGAATTACTTCGCGTTATATTGCCAAGCTTCGAATTACTATGCGTTATTTTGCAACGCGTGGAATTACTGCGCGTTATATTGCAACGAGAAGATATTAATGCGCGTTATATTGCAACGAGAAGGAATTACTACGCGTTATATTGCAACGCGCCGAATCACTACGCGTTATATTGCAACGCGCCGAATTACTACGCGTTATATTGCAACGCGTCGAATTACTACGCCTTATATCGCAACGCACTGAATTACTATGCGTTATATTGCAACGCGAAGAAATTACTACTCGTTATATTGCAATGCGAAAAAATTACTACGCGTTATATTGCAACGCGCCAAATTACTACTAATTACTACGCGTTATATTGCAACGCGCCGAATTACTACGCGTTATATTGCAACGCGCCGAATTACTACGCGTTATATTGCAACGCGCCGAATTACTACGCGTTATATTGCCAAGCTTCGAATTACTATGCGTTATTTTGCAACGCGCCGAATTACTACGCGTTATATTGCCAAGCTTCGAATTACTATGCGTTATTTTGCAACGCGCCGAATTACTACGCGTTATATTGCCAAGCTTCGAATTACTATGCGTTATTTTGCAACGCGCCGAATTACTACGCGTTATATTGCCAAGCTTCGAATTACTATGCGTTATTTTGCAACGCGCCGAATTACTACGCGTTATATTGCCAAGCTTCGAATTACTATGCGTTATTTTGCAACGCGCCGAATTACTACGCGTTATATTGCCAAGCTTCGAATTACTATGCGTTATTTTGCAACGCGCCGAATTACTACGCGTTATATTGCCAAGCTTCGAATTACTATGCGTTATTTTGCAACGCGCCGAATTACTACGCGTTATATTGCAACGCGTCGAATTACTACGCCTTATATCGCAACGCACTGAATTACTATGCGTTATATTGCAACACTTCGAATTACTATGTGTTATATTGCAACGCGTCGAATTACTACGCGTTATATTGCAACGCACCGAATTACTACGCGTTA